ATCATCAAGTACCACCTAGTAAGTACAACAGCATACGCATAATGATCGCGAATCCTGAAGCCTTCGGAAACCCCCACTGGGAACGGAACCAGCGGTGATCCAGCGTCTGATCCGCTCGGAATCTGATAAAATGGCGATTGCGCTCTGGATTGTTATGGAGACTGGATGGAAGCTGGAGTTCTAATGTTTTGACGGCCGCACGTCAAGTATGGGTCACCTCCACCCATCTTTCGATAAGATGGTCTTTTCCATCATATGAACCTCCAAGTCACAATTTCATCGAGAGGACCTTGTGTGATCAGACTTGTTTGGAAGCAGCAGTTCAACCAACCGGCGACGTCCAGTCTGCTGGCGGGCGATTCCCTGCGGAAACCTCCGTTTTCCGAAGGCGGAATCTCCCCAGAACGCGCCGCAATGGATTTCTACTCCCCGATCTCGGAATCTCTTCCGGACAGGTCTCGCTTGCACCTGCATCTTTTCTTCCCCCCTTGTGATACGTGCCAGTATCTGGAATTCTTAAGAGTCGAACTACCGACAAGTCATACGAAGAAGTTTTTGAACCAAGGCTTATGGATTGGAAAAGAAAAACCATACTAATACAGGAATCGACATGAACTCAAATATAGTCGATCACAGCAGAAGATAAGAACCGCATCAAACCGCATCATATCATATCGTATCATATCGGCATCCAAACACCTCGCACCTTAAATTACCACTTCCGCGCGTTGTCGCCAGTCCGGTCACCATTGATGCTGCTCAGAACGTCACTGGTCGACTGTCCGAGGCCTTTGGTCGTGTTTCCCACACCCTCACTGGCTCCTCCGACCGTGTTGCCCAAGCCTTCGCCCACGCCGCCCACAGTCTTCCCCAGACCCTGAGTAGCTCCGCCGACCGTCTGGCCCACTCCGCCGACAAGACCGCCGACCGTATCTGTGAGGCCTCCGACAGTCTTGCCAAGGGTATCTGTCAGCCCTTGCAAGAGGTTGACTAGTTAGCCAAGATTAGCAACCAGTGGGCGGCAAATCTGCCACAAAAGAGATCCAAAGGGAATCACTCCCTACGAAGGGGGGAGGGCGGAAGCCATCCTAACAAGGCATATATGAGATAGATGATACGTACCGTTGTTGTTGTTGTCTCCAGACGACATGATGTGTGTAGGATGGATATTATATGTTCGGTAAGTTTTGTTATCGACAGCGACCGATTAAGAGGAGTCTGATTATAGTGGTTAGAGGTGAAATGATGAGAAACACCTAATGACACTGCTCTGAAGCATTCCTTTATAGGGCATGGTGGTGGGCAAGCATCCCAGTACTCTTGCCACGGGCCGCGTGTGTGCAGCGATGATATCATTGTCCCGTGGAAACAAGAAGCACTGGTCACCAGCACCTTTCACTCCAAGTGCTCGGCCATGCTAGGTGATAGTAGGACCCTGAGCAAGACCCAGAGCCATGAGACGAGAGATGATGAAATAGGCTTCAAGGATTATGACAGTGGCGTGTTGATCGGCGGTTGTCCCGGCATGATTGGGCGGCTCGCAGTGTCACGTAGATTGATATTGCGGTAAGGAGCACGATCGGAGGTCAGTGGTCAATCTGAATTGGCCCGCATCTCACAGGATGCATGGAGAATTCATGGTACATGGATACCAAATTGGTGAGACACCATCGCCAGTTTACGTCATGGCTGACTGATGGCCTATCTGATATCTGGCACTTCGCTTCGTTGATACGGATTTCCAGCCGAACGGAACGAAGAACCAAGGGTCAGCCCTGTCGACAACGCAATGTGCTTTTGGCCTTGACATTTCTACTAAGTTTGTTCAGTTTCTACACTGCTCGTCGCAATCAGAAACCATAACGATCCATCGATGATGCATTGTGTTCAATCCTTCATCTTGTTGTTGGCCACCGTCAATTATTGTGGCTTGATCTCAACAAAGTGTAGGAACTATGCGAGTGTCCTGGCATCTTTCGAACTGGACATCAATATCTTGACCACTACTTAACACAGGAGCCAAGATAGAAGCGGAGCACATGCCTGCAGGAGACCATTTTTTGAACCGCAAGGCAAAGTAGACAGGACTGTAGGATACCGAGTGACAAGATATGTATGACACCAGATCCTGGAGTGAGTGATTGAGATGAGAGTGGACTTTTCATCTGCTAGTAATAGAACCACTCCACCTGCCTACCTGCCGGATCATAAGTATGAGTGAGGGCAAGGCTCAAGGAACGGGGTCGCAATCCTCTCCAATACTTGAAGAATGTCAAGACCAGGAATAGTCACGTGCCAATAAGCCACGAGGGAAAGCAGCATGAGGAATGGGAGGATCTGCAATCAATCAGTATGTACGAAGTACTGAGTATATCAACAATGCAGATGCAGTCATGACTATCTACATCCAAACATTTTCAATTGTCTCTCCCCGCCAGACAGCTCAAATGCTTGGCTCAATTGATCAGCTGCTCATTTCCGTCGGGGTTGACATCCTCAGACCAACCAACTCTCAATGTTATAATTTTCTACCCCGCAAACTCTGCTTGCATGGCGTTGCTGTCAATTGGTTCTACAGCCCTTAGTCTTTCCCCTTCCCAACCACTGCATACTTCTAGAATCTGGTCAGCCGTCTATTAGTCCTTTGCCGACTGCCGATGAGTGAAATTTCACCACCAGTGAGTGGCGGTGGTGGAGTAGGCACCTAGTCGTGACCAGACATTATGCCCAGTTCCTGCTCGGGCCCCGCCGCCGGTGCATAAAAATCTAACCCAACAACCGTCCCACTTTCCACCCATTCACCATTGCCAATTCGGCCGGGTGCGGAACCTGTCCCTGATTTTCTTTCCTCTCGTGTCTTTCCCCATCCTCAATCTGTTCTCCCGTTCAGTCCCCTTTGACAATCTTACACCTCTCTTTCTTCCCTTCCCCCTCCCATAGCCTCTACACCTTCCGCCCCCTCCCCCTTCCACCCCCCTCCCCTCCCCCTCCCCAGGGCATCGCAATTGCTCTTCCAGCATGGCTTCCAACAAATCTCCGGATGCCATTGCACCGGTAGAGCATCCGCCCTCTCTCTCCGACGGCTCAACGGGTTCCGCCGCCAGGATCATCCATAATGCCAAAGCCGCTACCGATAAGGAGCGGCAGATGACCCTGTGGCAGGGCGTCAAGCTCTACCCCAAGGCTGTCGCATGGAGTGTCCTCATCTCTACCTGTATTGTCATGGAAGGCTACGACATTAGTCTGGTCAACAACTTCTATGCCTTTCCTCAATTCAATCGGAAATACGGTGAGCTGACGGCGGACGGCTCATATCAGGTTCCAGCCCGGGTATGGTTTACACTTTCCTTTCTCAATCAATTGATGGGCTTGAGAAACTTCCTGCTAATATAATCTCTCCCCGATTTAGTGGCAATCCGGTCTGAGCAACGGTGCATATGTCGGAGAAATCATTGGTCTCTTCATCAACGGCTGGGCGTCCGAACGGTTTGGATATCGGTACACTATCATGGCTTGTCTTGTTCTCATCACCGCCTGGACTGCCATCTTCTTCACTGCGCCCAATGTCCAGGCCCTGCTCGCTGCGGAAATCCTGGCTGGTATTCCCTGGGGAGTTTTTCAAACACTTACTATCACCTACGCTTCCGAGGTCTGCCCCGTTGCGCTGCGAGGCTATTTGACGACGTATGTCAACTTCTGCTGGGGTGTCGGACAACTGATCGGTATCGGAGTGATCAAGGCTATGATCAATCGGCAAGATGAATGGGCTTATCGGATTCCCTATGCCCTCCAATGGATGTGGCCCTTACCGCTGTTCATTGGCATTTCTCTCGCCCCCGAGTCGCCTTGGTGGCTCGTTCGCCGGGGTAAGATCCAACAGGCGAAAGACGCCTTGCTGCGCCTGACCAGTCTGAACCGGGAAACGGATTTTGACGCCGATGAGACCATTTCCATGATGGTGCATACTACGGCCTTGGAAGAAAAAATCACCAAGGGCGCCAGTTATCTCGATTGTTTCAAGGGCACTGATCTGCGCCGGACCGAAATTGTCTGCATGGTCTGGGCCATTCAGAACCTCAGTGGCAATTCCTTCTCCAATTACTCGACGTACTTCCTGGAGCAGGCCGGGCTGAGCACTGACAACTCGTATGCGTTCGCCATGGGCCAGTACGGGATCAACATGGTGGGCGTGTTCGGCGCCTGGTTCCTCATGTCCGTGGGCTTGGGACGCCGCGCTCTCTACCTGTACGGCCTCTGCGGGCTGTGTGTCATGCTGCTCGTGATGGGCTTCCTTGGGCTCGTTCCCGAATCGCACAAGACCCAGGGGGCGTTGGCGACGGGCAGCATGATGATTGTCTGGGCTCTGTTCTATCAGCTTACTGTCGGAACCGTGGCATACTCCCTTGTGGCTGAGCTGTCCACCCGTCGCCTGCAGATCAAGACCGTTGTGCTCGGCCGGACGCTCTACAACATTGTCGCCATCATCTGCGGTGTTCTGACCCCGTACATGCTGAACCCCGGTGCTTGGAACTGGAGCAACTATGCCGGTTTCTTCTGGGGCGGGATCTGCTTCCTGTGCATTGTTTACGCCTTCTTCCGGGTGCCGGAGCCCAGCGGCCGGTCTTTCGCCGAGCTGGATGTCCTCTTTGAGCGGGGGGTCAGCGCCCGGAAGTTCCATCTGACCCCGGTTGATGTGTTTGACGAGACGATGGATCGTGATGTGGTCGAGCACTACCAGACCGAGAAGACGGTCGTTGCTGAGGGGGCTCAGGCTGAGAAGGCGGCCTCGTGAGGAGGTTTTTTTGCGTAAGAGATCCTTGTAATACTTTAATAATATTAGATGTACATAGTTACATGTTCGATCATGAAATACGACACGATTAATGATTTCAATTGGGATGTTGCTATTACTCCACTGACGGACAGGGACCACATTCTCCGAGAAACATCCGCAACAGCTTGCTGCCTCACCTCGGGACTCAAAACACCTATTATACCGCCTATTCGTTCGACCACTCGGGCTTCTTCTTCCCCGCGAAGGCCTCCATTCCTACCCGCAAGAACTCCAGTCAGCTCACAAACCCTCTCTCATATCCAAACCCCACCTCCACCCCTCTCGCGAGAAAGAAAAGCAAAACTCACCAATCTTCTGATCCCGACTCCCAAACAACCCATGAAACACGCGCCGCTCAAACTCGACCCCCTCCCGCAACGCCAACTCCTGACTCTTATTGACGACCTCCTTGCCCGCCACGACCGCCACGCGCGAGTACCCCGCGATCGTCTCCGCCGTCTTCACAGCCTCGGCCAACACCTCCTCCAGCCCGCCCTCAACCACCTGGGCCGCCATCCCCCACTGGCCAGCCTCCCTCCCACTGAAATTCCGGCCGGTGAGGATCAGCTCCATGGCTTTACTCTTCCCGACGGCTCGCGTGAGCCGCTGCGACCCGCCCGCGCCCGGCACCACCCCCAGCTTGATCTCGGGCTGTCCGAAGGTGGCTGTCGCCGTGCAGTAGAGGATGTCGCACATCAGGGCGAGCTCGCATCCGCCGCCGAGCGCGTAGCCGGAGACCGCGGCGATCACGGGCTTGCGGATGGAGGTGGCCAGGTGCGACCACGGCGCGATGAAGTTGCTGGTGTAGGCGGCGGAGAAGGTTAGGGGGGCCATTTCTTTGATGTCGGCGCCGGCTTTTTGGGAGTATTAGTGGATAATGGGTCGGGGGATTTGTAGGGATTCTTGCACTTGAAGATGGTGGAAGGGTTTGTGTTTGGAGGATATGCGGGGGGAAGGAAGAAGGCGAGGGAGGGGCAACGCACCTGCAAAGGCTTTCTCGCTGCCGGTGATGATGATGGCGCCAATGTCCTTGTCTTCGTCGTATTTGGTCAGGGCATCGTTGAGTTCGCGGAAGAGGGGGCTGGAGAGGGCGTTTAGGGCTTTGGGGCGGTTGAGGGTGACTGTTTGTTTGCGGGTGTCAGCTTCGGATGGATGGGATCAGTTTAGGTTGAGGCCATTGGTAGCGTACTTAATCCCACGCCGGGCTTGGGAGTCGAGGTGAGGATGTGCTCGTATGCCGAGGTCGCGGAGGTGTATGTTCGCAGGTGGGCGGACAGCGGCCGGGCGGTCCGCGAGGCGACGAGTCGGGAGCAGTGACGGGCGAACATGATGGCTTGGAGGGTTCGGTTAACGGTTCAATGAGGAGGGGTGCTACGGTATTTCAAGAATTTCAAGGCAATGGGGGAGATGGAGCGGGTTTATTAGTATGTGGGTTGTTGCGATGACATACCTTACCTTACCTCGAGTCTCCCCGCAAAGCTGCTCGGCCGCGGCCCGCCAATAACCGGTCAATCCAAAGGGACAGCATGTTTGATCGGTTTGACAGTAGAGCAGCACGTGTAGCACGGGTTTCACGTGATGGCTGACTCAGATGAGGCGCAGCAACGGGTGTCGCCATCTGTGGCTTCCGAGGCCGAAAGCGGCTTAGGGGGAAATGGACCAGCCAGCAGGCAGTGGACACTTTTCGGATTATCCTCTGGCTATCTGCTGTTGGCTGTGCTGCCTCTCGCTGCTAACTAAAGTGTTAAACTAACCACCGACCGACTACTGCTGTTTCCGTCGCCTCTCCATCGCATGCGCTGACCGGGAGAATATTCTCTATCCTTGCGCTTCTCCGTCTCTCACCCCCCTCTCTCTCTTCCTTTACTCCCCTTCTCTTTTTCTCTCTACTTCGTTTACACAGGAAGGATTTAGTATCCTTCCCTGACTTCAGCGCCTTCGCCATGGACGTGCCCGAACCCGAGCAGACTCCATTCACTGCCGTCACGGCACAGACTTCCAAACTCGCACGGGTGAGTTCTGTCCTGCTTTTCTCCCTCGATCCGAGGGCGTTTATTCTATTCAGCTCGATTATGCCCGCATTGGAAGACTTCCGCAATCCGGAGCGCAGTTCCGGCGAAGTCAAGTGGCATCAACAAGCCCAGTCTCCATACAAACAAATTCACCCGCTGACACACCAGCCTGTTCAACAATAGCAATATCAAACCTACCTTGATGCCTCGACACCTTTCACGGCCTACCGCTGGACTGGCACCGTCGTTCTGCTCCTGATCTTCTTTTTGCGAATTGTCCTCGCCCAGGGATGGTACATCGGTACGTCAACCCCAGAAACCAGAAACCGGAAAGCCCATACAAACACGAACTTGCCCCCACAAAGAGGCACAGAGAGCTAACCCCTCCTCCTGAATAGTCGCCTACACCCTCGGAATCTACCTCCTGAACCTCTTCCTTCTCTTCCTGCAACCCAAGTTCGACCCCTCCCTGACCCAGGACGAAGGCCTGGAGGACGGTGATGCCGGCGCGCCCAGCCTCCCCACCAAGCAGGACGACGAGTTCCGGCCCTTCATCCGCCGGCTCCCCGAGTTCAAGTTCTGGCACTCGGCGACCCGCGCCATTGCCATCGGGTTTGTCTGCTCGTGGTTCTCGGTCTTCGATATTCCGGTCTTCTGGCCTGTCCTGGTCGTGTACTGGATCATGTTGTTCATCTTGACGAGTATGTTCTCCCTGGATGCACCCTACCTCCCACCACTCGTGGCATGCATACAATAGAACCAGCTAACTAAACATCCACCCACCCAGTGCGCCGCCAAATCCAACACATGATCAAGTACCGTTACGTGCCTTTCTCCTTCGGAAAGACCCGATACGGCCGCTCGTGATTTTTTCTTGTCAATCCACTTCAAGAAAGTCAAATCCAGAAGAACCAGCCAGCGCCAGTCAATCGCACAGATGTCCCAGCGATCTAGCGGGGGAACCTGTACTGCAGAAGTCTGGTGTCTGTGTATGATATGATCCAAGTCGATGAATACATCATTATCATCACGCTTCATGTCCCTTTCTTTTTTTTTGCCCCTCTTTTGCCCCCTTAACTCACAATCTTGTTCTTGTTCCTATATTGTGTTTTGTTCTTCTGAGCGAAAACACGCACTCGACGACTTCCAATTAAACATGCCCTAACTCAACTTCTCATGTCGTTATGCATTTCCCTCCCCATCCCCTCCGGAATCCTTTCACTCCTCTCTGGTTTCTCTTTCTCTCGTGTATTCCGAATGTTTTCGGCCGGTGAATGCAAATCTGCAAGATGGATTGTTCTCCATCCGAAGGGTTACACTCATCAAGTGCGAACAGGCACAGAACCACGACCGGGAAAGGGAGAGCCGGGTGTGAAGGAAGCAGCCGAGGGGAGCTAAACCAACCCTTTACCCTTTCACCTACCCACCCTATCTTGCCCTTTCACACATCTCCCCCTACCCCCCCCCCCCCCTTGCCTACTCCTAATAATTGAACCTTCGATCGATCTCAACCCATTCCTGATGATGAATGCGTGGCGTGACGTGACATGGCCTGGACCCTAATCCAAACATGATCTGATTTGTGATGATGGAAGGAAAGGAAGTGTGGTGGAAGTGTGGTGGAAGTGTGGCTGGGTGATTTGGGGGTTTAGATTAATTCTTCCCTTCAATTATTGTACAGAGAAAAACCTATTGTTTTTTGTTATTCTTTCACTCAGTTGCTGTACGCCTTTCATATCCATTTATGTTGGCCCGGGTTCCTTGTCCTTTTGGTGCTAATATACAGTACATAGAGATTTGTATTCGTGTTTCAATTAAGGTTATCTGTCTCTTGTCCTCGGTATTCGGTAAGCGTGGGATCGATGAATTGGGGGTGTGTAAATGCCAGATGAGATGCAAAGGATGGTTCTTGATGGAATCGGCGGTATTGGCTATTTGTCTGTTTGGCTGTTTGGCTGGGTAGGTATGAGGTATAGGAGGCGTTGACTCAGTTTCCGTAACTTAACTTAGGCTTTGACTCTGATATGATAGCGATAGTCTTCTAGGCTTTTACCTCTATATCTACCCTTTTCCCACTTCCAGGGCTCTTATCATTTAGAACAAGGTGCTTTACTGAAGAACAAGTCCCACCTCCCACACACCCTCACCACTCTGTACACCTGCGCCCCCCCCCTCCCCAACATCCCCCGGGCCCCCTTCAGTACCCTACTCACTCATTCAGCGACAAAGCCGACATCGCCCGACTCGGCGCCGGACGATCCAGATCCCGAGTCTTGGTACAGATCCAGGTCGACGCGTACATATTCACACTGGTCACGCATTAGCAAATGGCCTGCCCTTTCTCCCACACACCCCCTATGACTTTCCGTAGCTATAAAAAAAGGGGAAAAACTCACCGATCGATACAAGTACCAGGGGCTCTAGCCCCGACCCGCTTCGCGGAGAATCCATTCTCCTCGAAGTGCCGAATATACCAGGGGTCGATGCTGGCGGACCGGAGGAGGATGCGACCGCCCTTCTTCAGCGCGTGGTTGAGTTTCTGGGCTTGGGCGGCGGCGGCGTCGCTGGTGGGGTCGAACCAGTCCATTGAGTCCATGATCTATTTTGGAGGTGTTAGGATGGAGTTTTTGGAGGGGGGGTGGGTAAGGGGACAAAGGGGACAAAGGGGCAGGAAGACTGACGACTGCGATGGTGAGACTCCTCGGTGTGATGCGCTTGATGACTTCGTTGATCTCGTCGGTGTGGATGCGGAGACCGTCGAAGGCGCCGGGGGAGGAGAGCTTGACGTGGGCCTTCGGGGTGAGGTAGGCGGGATGGCATCTTTGCATGAAGTACAACGTTTTAGTATGCTTTCGTATGGGTATGGAAAGAAAGGTGAGTGACCGGGACTAACCTGCGGGAGAATTGGCCCTGCAAACACAGGAAATAGAAGTAGTTGTCGTTGCTGATGAGAGTATCCTGGACGACGGGGTCCAACGTGTCCACGACGTACTCCCAGATCGACTGGCCGCTGACGTCCTTGGCCTGCTTCATCTTCTTGTTCAGCCCGTTGCGCTTGTAGAAATCGTCGATGATCATGTTGCGCTGGTTGCGGGGCACCCCGGCCGCCTTCCAGGCGAACCACTCGGTGCCTACGACCGCCCAGTGCAGCGGCTTGCTCATGAGGACGGCGCGGATCCTGGGCCAGATCTTACGCTGCTCGGCCAGCGTCTGCGCCTCGCAGAGCTGCTGCACCTGGGACTGGAGCCCGAAGACCTTGAAGAGGTACCGCACCATTTTGATGGCATGGCGAGAGCCGCCGGTCTCGTACAGGCCCTTGCCCGAGGAGGAGGCGAAGACGTGCGTGTGCTCGAGCCAGTACTGGAAGGCTTGGCTCGAGAGATGAGGGCTCAGTTTGGTGATGAGGAGCCGGCGGAAGTCCGGGTGTTTGCCCTCGCCAAAGATCTTCCAGACGTCGCGGTGGCCAAGTGCGATGAAGCTGGCGACCTTGAGCTCGAGAAGGTGATTTTGAGTGGGATTCAGGTCTACGGCATGCACCCGGCGGGGGCTCTTTTGGAGGTAGTCCAGGATGTTGTCGCCTGCACTGGTGATGGCGAGGATGACGTCGTCGCGCTGGATATTGAGTAGTTTGTGGTCAACACGGGGGTCTTCCCAATTGAAGGCATAGATGTACTCGTTGCCGAACTGGGTGTGCTTGGGAAGGAGGTCGTCATAGAAGATGCGGTAATGGTGGTTCTGATAGAATGACGAAGGCAGAGGAAGGTTGGAGCCGAGGTTGATCACGGCAGATTCGTACGCTTTGGATTTGATCTCCTGCGTGCTGCTCACAATAGCCGCATCTATCTCGCTCCGATGCGTCGCGGGAGAGAGGTACGGAGACTCTGTGAAAGAGGCATTGAGCTTTTCAATGGCATCGCGGCCGGAATGTGTAGTGGAATCCTTCTGGCATCCCACAAAGATGTAGTAGGGAATTCCACCCAACAGGTAGTTCCTCTCACTGGCTGAAATCACGGTCCCAAAGCGGTATTCAAGGTAATCACGACGAGCAGCCTCAAGACTGACACGGTCGGCGTCGAACCAGGCACGCCAGAAGGCTCTCCCAAGCCAGTTCACATGGCGATTGAAGGCGCCGCCAATGTAATTGCGTGAGGAGACGTCCACGATGCTTTGCACTGCGCCAGAATCAGCATCCTGTGTGCATCATAGTCCACACTCTGCATACCATAGAAATCACAAACTCCCACAAAGCCAGAAGGCTTGATCAGCGCAGGCAGTGAGTCAATGACGCTGTAGTAGTCTGCACTGGTCAGCATAGT